AGTTGGTGCCCTTTTCGCTTTAGCAAACTCGGAAGCTCCGCAAAGACGTCAACATTGACGTGTGTGACTTGTTGACAGTAATCTTGTGCAGTTAATGTTTGGGCGCGTGGAATAAGCTCATAAGGAAGTACTCGTCCGCAATCCTCCCACCAGGCACCTAACAGCACTTTGATTGGATGCAACTCAGCCGTTGCCTTGAAAACTGGTCTTTCACGTTAACGCTTCCAGCTTCCATTTCCTATGATCCAGTCATGTGCGATTCATATTTCATTTCCAGTTGGGAGTTGATCCGAGAGCTGCTGGTCTTGTAGGTGGGTGAGGGAAGAAACGGCTGTGATAACGCGGTTCCGTTAGTTGCATTATGTCAAAGCATGCTGAGTCCGTTTTCAATATGTAATGGTACCATGCACAGAAATTTAACCACTTTTCAGTTACATAAACTCTTGGCGTATTTCGATAATCACCGTTAATAAGCCAAACAAACGAGCTGAAACATCACACTGGGTCATTTATTTTATGAAAACGCATTAGGAAACATGAGAATTCGGTTTAACATTGAGTTTTACCTAATTTGGTTAAGTGATTGTTAACATCTGGAACAAATTAATGGACAGTTTTTGCATTATTGTGATAATGTGGAATCCGTTCCACAATAGCAAAACAAAAAACGGACGCGACTGTTTATTAAAGCTGCAAATAAAGTGCGTTGGTTTTACCCAACCAGTATCCAGAGTAGGGTCAACTAGGTGCAAACACGTACGTGATGCACGAATTACCCGGAACGCAATACAGGAGCAGCCAATAAATGGCCACTTAAAAACTCCCTGACCAGATAAAAACACAATTAACTAGCCTACATGCTTATTTAACTTGGGCCCGTTGAGAGCGTCAATATCGATCCGACTTTCGTTGTTTGTCTCGGAGCCTTCGCCTTGCGTCACCATCGGCAATACAACACCTGCTTCCAAACTAACGTTAAGCATCGAGCAAGTGGCCCATCGTTCCACCAGGCTTCCTGTGCGCCTCGCGGCAGTGTCCCTTGTGCTACCATAGCTCACTGTGCGCCGATGATGCTTTGAGCGCTGTAGAGGCGAAAGGGGCACTTGATGATGAGATTTTCTGAGTCTTTTTGTTGAGTCATCATTGTTGTTGAATTCAAAAGAGGAGGATGAGCTAAAAAAGCTGCGAGGCTGGTGTAGCGGCAGTTGATAAGTGGAAGAGACTACGGTCGAAGCCGAAGTTGACGCCCTGGAAGCGAGCACGAGGGAACTCCCGCCATCAACTGGTTGTCGGGCGCAAGTTATAGGATCTTCGGAAGCGAACTGAACAAAATTAGCCAGCGGCGGGGGAAGAGTTGCGTTTGGGGCATTTCGTGGAACAGTATGAGTGGTGAAACCCGATGGATAGCCTAAAGGTGAACAATATGACTCATTGTTTTAGTACATGGTATTTCAAATGATAGCGTCTACTAAAAAAGCGATTTAGGAAGAAAGTGGCCCAGGAACTTTAAGGAACCTGTGTAACTTTGTAATTGTATTAGGGCGTGCAATGAAAGCAGAGAGGTCCAAGATGGTTCCCATGACTAGCTCAATTTCCGTCTAATAAGTATGGAATGGATTAGCAGTCATATGAGATGGTTTCGAATTGCGGATAAGACGGGCAATTGGTGAGAAAATAGCACTGACAAAGGCAACGACGCACCCCCCACGAATACGTATATTAGAAACCAACTGAACAACACACCACTTCCTCGTTTGACACACTACAAAGAGCAGCATCAAATAAAATTAAAGCACAATGGTTTAAGTTATACTTACCTAGGTAATAGCTAACCTGTTTATCACTAAAAAACAAACAATTTTTATGAAAGTAGAAGATGCAAGCAAGGGTTTACTGTGAGACAGCACTTACTACGATCGATACAGAAGAATGATCGCTGCGGCAGCGATATAGAATAGGACGTAAATTCCAACTGCTCCGTAGATGGGAAGATAATAGTGATAACCTATGCAATAACAGCAGCAGTGAGATGAAAAATTATTCAGCTATATTTTTAGAAAACCATCAGAGCCTTATTGTTTTTTTGGATCAGCTGTACAATAAGTAATAAAGTGAAGAAAAAGCATCCCGGATCAAATGCCATGCTTAATCGCACTAAAATCCACGAGGGGCAAATCAAGTTTCCTACGCTGTTTTAAAGCAAAAAAGTCGTTGAACAAATGGAAATCTTTGCGAAAAATAGAGTTGGTTTAAGTCCGAGGAGTCTGTGACTTCACTGCTTACCTATCATTCCATGAGGTGATTTTGTTATGTAACGACAAAGGCCTGACGACGATAATTTAGGCAAAACAAATTTTAATTAACTCAGCAAAAGGATTGAAAGGACTTTGAGTCACAACGCGAGCATACTTTAAATGCTTGAAACCAATTTTCATATAACTAAGAATTCAGATTGGATAAATACGAGAAACTAAATACAGTTGGATAACCCAACAACTTATAAGGCTTACCAAGGTGTATTTTGTTGGCATGTGAGAGCAGAGTCATTAATTTCGGCCTTTTTCTGGTCCCTCAAAATGTAACTATACGTTTTGCATGACAACTACAATCAGTTGTTTTAATGAAACTGAATAAATCTACGAAAATTGAGGGCCGTGTTTGGCAGAATTAATCCTAAATAACCTGTGAAATATATGAAATTAATTGAGCATAGCTGAGAATTGAATTGAGGGCTTAACGTGAATAAGAGTAAAGCACAATAGGGTGTTTCAACAATAAATCAAAAGATTACCAAGAATTGATAGCAGGATTATAAACCAATGGTAACATTTGTCGAACCACAATGAGGAATCAACTAAAGCTCTGCATGAACCACGTACACGAACACATCTATTTCGACCACAAAAAAAAGGGAAATAGGCAATCAACACACCTGCCAATGTTGGGGAAACCGATATTGTGACATTTTTTATCCGAGGGAGATGTTGATGACCAGGTTTGACAACTAAAGGTTGTAAGCAAATGGGCATGATTTGTTAATGAAGCAGAATTTGCAGGCATCAGTAAATAATAATCAAATGGAAGTACTCATACAAACTATATTAAAACACTGACAATATCAGAAAAGTTCGAGAAAGCTTCAAGGCTTAGAATGCAGACAATAAAGGACCAGAAACTAAAAGACATATAAGCGGCCTAGTATCCTAATGACTGTCGGATAAAACAAGTAACATTATACAAACGAAACAGCAGGACTACCTATGACAAAAGTAAGAGAAATTCTAAACAAATCGTTAAAACGACTCCATATTAAGCGCTATGTAACTTCAATTACAAAAATGAAGATGTGTGAGCGAAAATGACGAACTAACCAGTTGCGATTCCGTCACAGTCGACATCTTCAGGTCTTAGAACAAGGACTACCAAAAAATCCGAAGCGTTCTCCTGTCTTTTCTGCACAAATGAAAGTAATATCACTGAATAAATTAACATACACTGATCGGTATGGCTCCACGGGTAGTCACCGTCTGGTAAACACCGGAATACTTAACACTACCTAATGTATCTGCAACAGGGCACTAAGGTACATAAGTGAGCTGTAAAAAGGCGGACCTTGGCATGCTGCACGGAAACGGTCATGCAAAGTGTATCTGTAGAACGAGCCCGTACGACAACGGAATCGACATCATCAGGAAGGGAAAATAAAAAATACTGAGGCTCAGATGGAGTAATCAGGAGTCGCACCACTTCCCCAAGCCTTTGTACAACATTAAATAACACAATCTTACGGGAGCAAAAAATTATGAAGCACATCGAGGCGCAGACGGTAAAATGGAGCGAGAGATTTCGTTGAAATTGAACTTGAAAGTTCTACGACAATCTGTTCGGTGGCGTTAGTTGGATTGTTACGCGCGATGAATGACGGACATAACGTCCGGCTAACGACATTAAAAGAAAATCTATTTGTAAAGCAAGGTTACACACAAATACCTGCTGTTAATTATAAATGGCAGAGGGAACGATAACACACCCGCCTGCTGCTTAATAACGGCAATTAATGGATATTCTTCAGATACGTTCTCGGCTCTAATTTTAACTCGAACGGCCCCTGACTTCAAGACATCACATGTTAAGAATGGACATACAATATTGTTTCGAGTCAAATTGTATGTGTACGTGTGAGGATCGTTAAGGTATACTTTTCCAGTATACACAACAGAGAAATCCGCAGGCTTAGAAAATGAAGTGCATACAAAAAGATAAAGGACAAAAGGAAGACCTCGAAGTACCGAATACCACATCTGACGAGAAAATCAAAAAAGTAACGAAACAATCAACGAAAAAAAAACAAAATTTTCCAAGCAAAAAAATTGAAACTTCCATAGCAAAAACTACCCGACTAACTAGATGAATTAAAAAAAATAATAAATAAGGATATTACAAAATGTTGAAATAAATAAATGGATGGAAAAAATTCTACAAATGATCACAGGGGGAAAAAATTACGAAATCGAAGAAACCTCAAAAATATCGAAACTAAAAAGTGTGGTACAAAAGAATTGTACAATTTTATGATAAGTTAAAGCCGAATTTATGAAAAAGTTTATTTAGAAATAAAAGTGTACTATGAAAGAGTGGAATGTTTCAGAGGCATTAGAAAAAAAATTCACAACCGTAAATCGAAAAAACCACTAGTAAAGATTATTGAAGAAAGAATTATTAAAGGAATATTGATATTTAAGCAAAAAATTATAGTTAGCAGAGCAAACTTCCTTCAATCAAATATCCCAGGATATTCTTCAATAAATATTGCGATTTATGAATGCGACATTTTCGCCTCAGGCATTTTTGCCTCCGAATTTATTGTAAAAAATTCTTAATTTTCGGGTTTGTTTTAAATATTTGTATTTGATCTACATACAATGCCTCAATTGCAACTTACGATATGCGTGACTTCATTTAGCCTTGGAGGCATTTTGACAAGCATGGGGGAAATATAACGTGATGGAGTGTCCACAAGTGGTGATTGCTTGTGCTAGACAGAACATCTGACACATTGCATGGTTAACTTGCCTCCGGACGCACGTTTTCACCTGCAAATACATAAGTTATTATTTTAAGTTTTCATTCTATGACTGTTGTTAGAGCTCTTACCTCAAAATTCATGGTTGTGGAAAAGCACTTAAGGAAGAGTTATTTCGACGAGCATCTTTGCTCTGTTTTTGTGACTATTGCATGAGCTCTTACTAAACCTCTCATAGTGTCGTTTATGGTGGTCGATTGACGGACCTGATGGCAAGGACAACACGCGCGTAACATCAGTGGCAAATGAGCTGACGCATTCAGGAGGTTAAAATACACAGGCGTGGAAGGTGGCGTTTCGTCAGACCTTTAGCATGAAGAAATGAAGGCCTCTGCCAAGTAAGCTCGTTCATCATCATGTCACAAATTGGTGTGTGGCAGCCACTCGGCAGGCTTGCTAACGTGACGACAACCCATGAACGCGTGGCTGATCATAAAGTTAGTTTTCAGCAGGATGGTTTTAAAGTGTACGCACACTTATCAGGCATTTTGGTGAAAGTTAACTGAAGAGGCGTGCAGTCACCAATATGTAAAGTAGCTAATGCCCATATTGTAGTTGCTCACGTATCCATGTCTGCAGCCAAAGTAGTGGAAAATTGGAACGTAGTAATTGATGCAGAGGCAAAAGGGAAAATGCAGAAGGGTGACGATGTGGAGAGACTTGATGCGGGAATACCAAATGGAGGAACGCTTTGAAAGGCGCATACGTGCGCGGCGCATGAAGAGAAATCGAACACGGAGGGCACGTCGGCACGTGGGGCCCCCACACCTACGGCGAAGCCGACTGGCCACCCCTCCGCCGCAGGGCG